TATTAGTAAATAATGAAATTAAGAAGTATTCATTCTGAGGAGTCATCTTCGACTGTTGAGTTGTTACACTGTGTACCTTATACAGTCTAAATACTTAGTTAAGTAACCAGGCGACAGGCTACAGCTGTAAGATTAGAATCAGAAATACTTTATTGATCCCCGGGGGGGAAATATGTTCATTACAGTTGTTCTCACTATTAAAGAAATAGTATTTATATACAATAACTAACACAATATATAGAATAGAAATGAATGTATAGGTATATACAAATAGTAAAAAGTAAAAAATGGAAAATAGAAATATAATAAGAGCCTAACAGATATAATAAGATAATAAAAGCCTGTATAAAAATACAGACAAATGCTATAATCGCCTGTTTTTATTAATTAAATGAAAATGTAGATATTATTCTATTATTTAAAAAGAGCTTGACGAACACAAACATCCACATTTATAAATAAAAGCTGTTTGTGTGTGTGTGTGTGTGTGTGTGTGTGTTTGTATGTGTGTGTGTGTGTGTGTGTGTGTGTGTGTGTGTGTGTGTGTGTGTGTGTGTGTGTGTGTGTGTGTGTGTGTGTGTGTGTATCCATGACGAACGCTAGGAGGCGACATCCAACCAATCATTTACCGGACCGGAAGTGGGGAGCACATCTGTGACGTCACTTCCGTCAAGCGGGTCGTTGTTTTGTTTTTCTCCCTTTCAAAGCTAATTTAGCATTTTTCCTTGATAGTGGTTTCATAGCTTTATTTTTATTTTTCTACCGCCCCCCCCCACACACCAATAAGTTTAATGTTTATATTCCTGTAAAGACAAAGAAGAGTTCTCTGTTCCCGCCGCCGGTAAGTCTTTCTCACACACACACACACACACACACACACACACACACACACACATATAGCTATATATAAATATACATTGTGTTCACACACAGCTCAAATCTGTGCAGTGAAAAATGTCTCCGCACCGCTTTGCCACGTTATAAATGATCCATAGCTACGTTATAATGTACAACAGTGAATTATTTAATATTTTTTTATCACCATGAATGTATGAGAGCAGAATACATCGTTTGTCTTTGTGTTTACAGTGTGTGAGGGGGCTATAAGCTACAATGCACTACTTTATGGGCTCACTGCATGTTGTTGTTGATCTTCCTGCTAACCTATCCTGTTTTTATTTAATTTTTTTTGCCCGGATAGGTCCCTGAAGATTACCACAGACCAAACAGCAGCATCATGTCTGCAGAACTGGACCTGTCCCCTCCAGAGGTCCCTGAACCCACCTTCCTCGAGAGCCTGCTGCGCTATGGGCTGTTCCTGGGCGCCATCTTCCAACTCATCTGCATCCTGGCTGTCATCTTCCCCACATCCAAGGGACATGAACACGTAGGTAGACCCCAAGGAGAAGGTCTAGTGTCGCCCCTTTAAAAAAGCATTTCCCTCCCCTTCTAACAGTGTTTACCATCCCACAGTTGGGACTATGGCGTAGGTCAGGTGTTGTAGAGTAGAGAATATGACTTTATTGTCCAGCCGAGGTCAGAAAATCATCTCTGGTCTCACCCGATCGGATAAAAACATACATCAATACGGCACATCTCATCACCACATCAATTAATACAACATACACACAGTGCACAACATGTCTTCTACACATACGGGTGCGGTTAGTGCTGTTTGTTCATGGAGTTTATTGCATTAGGTATAAAAGATCCTGTATAGATCTTGGTACTCTGTAGCTTCGTCCTGGGGGAAGCAGCTTAAACTCAGTGTGAAGAGGGTGTTTAGTGTCACCAATGATGGACTGAGCTCTCCTATGTGGAGCTCAGCTGTTAAAGGTCATCCAGTGAGTTTTGTTGGCGGCCTGTTATTTTTTCCTGGCCAGCTTGTTGGCGTCAGATGTCCACAACAGATAGAGATATTAAACACAAGAGTACCTCCTAATTAAAAAGAGTCAGTTAGGGATACGTTGGGGGAAACGCCCTCTACCTGGTATAATAGCAGAATGTATCCCTACAAAGTGCTTAACATATAACACATCTCTGTTCACGTGGCATTAGAGGAACAAGAAATAGCGGCGTGACGTAGGGGATTCACAGGTAACAAATGTCACAGTTGAACCCAAAATCTACATTATGTCTTCATTTTATTATCATATTTGAATCATTGAAAAATAAAATCTAGATGTGTGCATCCCTTTACAATCTGGAACCAGGTTATTGTCTGTCTTCTCAGTATGACAACATGAGTTTGAGTTGATGGTAACTCAGTAACACAGTAAGAACATTTTGATATACAGTTAAGCAGTTCTTCACAATAAAATAAAATCTTCACAAAATAACTGAAAAGTAAGAAAACTTTCCAGAGCAGCAGCCTTGTGTCTTGGCTCACTGGCCTAATTTAGACTATTTCAGTATCACTCCAACTAGGAGTGAAATATATCTGGTTCAAGAAGAGGTGATAAGGCACCAAACAGCCAGGTTAACTTATTAGGCTGCAAGTCTTTATCCAGTACAAATCACTGGTGACTGGTTAGTTATTAATAAAACTATTTTCCCAACAAATAAAGACATTAAATATAATTAATACCAGATCTACAGGTTCTGCAGTAACACCATTTTGTAAAAACATCTTGCAGAGCGTTACTATTCAGTCTTTCTAGACAAACTAGACATCATTTAACAAGAGTAGTGCTAAATATCTTATTTTTGAATGTCCGTGAAGACAGAGCCACACTCTCACAATCTCCATACTGTCAGGAGAGATTATTTATAGACACGAGCAATTAAATCCACTGTCTAATTATTCTATTTTCAGACATTGTCATCAGATGCACTGATTACACTCCACAGTATGTCGCCATTTCATCCTTCACAGTAGCCTGCTGCCGTTCTGCCTTACCATTAGGGAAAGATTGCACTCACAGAAACAGCGCTGACGGAGGGAAAAGTGCTGAAACACATCTCAATTTCTTTTGTTTGGTGTGTGTGTGTGTGTGTATTTGTGCTCCAAAAACTCCCAAAAAGATTTAATTGAGATAAGTTTATACAGAGTCTGAGCTATCTGGCGTAATGAAAAACTCCATCACAAAATGTATATTATTTATTACCACTAATTACTAACCCCCTATGCACAATACAAACTGTTTCCTTACCTGAAAAATAACCTTGGTAAATATTGTATGTGCAAGAATCGGACAGCAAAAGCATTATCCAAACACATCTTACAAACACACTTATCTAATCATGCTTAGCAGTCGTGTATTTTTACCCCACATTCGAGCTGACTCAGACTTGTTGTGAAATGACAGGGTGTTTGACGCTGCCTGTGTTTGCTCTACAGGAGGAGGCCGAGTCCACCGATGGCAAGGCCACTGAACAGATGAAGAAACCTAAAGGACCGGCACCTCAGATTCGACAGAAACCAAAGAAAGAGAGCAAAAAGAAGCGATAGATTAGTGCTGCTGTGCGTGTGTGTAAGTGATACTTGCTTGTGGGAATGTGTGCGTGTGTGTAGTTATCAGTGAGTCAACATTGGCGGTTACCAGTAATCACTACAGATGTATGAAACACTACTGTAATATGATGACCGTAATAAATGACGTGCATTTGAGACACTTCAGAATGACCTTTCAACTGCGTCCTGTTCACATTCAACACGGTATTACAAAGACCAAATTGTATGGCGCTTGCTGATTGTTTATACAGCTACATGTTTTATTGGGTATATTTGGTTTCTTTTATAATTGAATATCATTGATTGAATTGTATTTGAATTGCATCAGACAAATAAATACACTGTGCAGTTATTCACTGCAGCTGTTTATATGTATTGCTAAATTTCAGTGTGGTTCAAATGAGTCAAAATGGGATCATGTCCTGTCCTTACATTTACTCCCTTTGTATGGCAAAATACATCATGACTTCATTATAAAGCTACAGTTCAGTGGCAGAACAGCCCAATTCATTGCATACAGGGTATTTTTATGAATGGTTTTTGTCTTTTGTTAACAATTGAATGATATTCAGACACCACTGATGATACTCGCAGTGGTTACAGGATAAGTGATGAAATTAAACCAAATGAGGTGATAGTTGCATTTAATACATTTAAGGAATCTTTATTGAAAATGTTTTTATATGATATAAATACTTAAATCTATTTTTTTTAAACTCTCAAACAGCCAATGTATGCCTCAAAAAGCCAGTATGGGTCGGACTCTACGCCTGGACGAAGAAAACATTAGCTAGATGTATGTTTTGGATTCAGGGGCAACTGTTCCATATTATTAACAATGCTCTAAATGTCCATCTTAATATTTTACTTATTATCAAGTAATATTTAGTAAGCTATTTTTCTAAACGATTTAAATATCACTGTGGCTATATTTGAAGTAAATTAAATTATATAATAATAATAATATTAAAGTACAGTTCTGACCCTCTGCTGTGATTGGCTGCTATCGCGTTCGAAACCGTTGGAAGCTGCGAGGGCCGAATAACGGATTAATATTAATGCGCGTAAGAGCGAAGAATGTGTCGCTTAGCAACCGCTGCTGCTAGCCAGCAACGAGGCTATCAACTGTTGTGGGTGAAACTTGATATTTATGTCACTTTAACAAGCTTTTGTGTCGTGTTGTACTTTCATCACGAAAAAAACAAATAAATAAATAAATAAAAATTCTCAATCGTGACAGAAAAGCTAAACCGGGGGTGTTTTGTCGTGCCCCCTGCCAACGCCTCGGTGAACGCACGGCGTCGAGCTCTACGCAATACGACGTGAAAACCTTTCTCGACTCCGGCGTCGCTGCGTAAAAAGCGTAAAACCCAGACTCATCACATTTGCGCTCTCGTGTTTCGTCAGTGATGCACTATCCCGTGCCTTCCCCCCCTACGAGGCATGTCGTCTCCACACCACACCGCTCCTGCTTCTTCCTCGCATGAATTTACCACGCCGTCGTCTCTTCCCAGCTGAACTGGGGTGGGTGGGTGGTGGTGGTTGGTTGGGGGGGGGGTCTACTTCACAGTTGGCGTGGTTGTTTTGTCCGAGCCCCACCACCGCAAAGCAAAGCCAAGCCGAGCCGGCCCCCGGCAGCCGTGTTGTGCCCTCTCTGCTCCTGAAGGCAGTCCCCGTCATGACCTCCCGTCTCTACGATTCTGCTGAAATTCGCTAAATGGGATTCGTGGCCGGTCCGAGGTTTCCACAGCAACCGGCCATCCGCTTCCATTATCTCTGTAATGAGGACAGCCAGGAGGATTTAACACGGTTCCTCTCTGCGCGTCTCTGATTTATTGTTTTTGTTTGTTTTTTTTTTTGTTGTAGGGGGGGCTGACTCTCAAGACGCGTCAAAGGTGAGTTAATTGACATTTTTAATGCGAGAAAATTAAGATTTATCTCGGAATTACATCCGAAGCTTGTTTGTTGCTGCGTATTTTTACCCCCCCCCCTCTCTCCATACTGATGTGTTACAGGGTACGATAACCCCCCTCTCTCTCTCTGACTTGTATTTTCATTGTTGCACAGGCCATTCAGTCAGCTCGCACATTTTTTTTTTTTTTTTTGGTCAGTGCCACTCAGTCTGTGCCAGGGCTATTTACTACACCCCCCACACACACACACACACACACACACACACACACTAACACTAACACATACACAAAATGTGCACCACATTTCTGACTTTCTCAACGAACCAAACAAGACGCAGTAAATCGACTGCGCACAGAAAACAAGAGCCAACAAAATCCATCGACATTCAAAATGGAGCTGTAACAGCACCTGTTTTGATTCATCAGGCCGCATATATGCGCTGTATGTAGCCCTACGACAGCCACAGCAGCATTGTCGCCTTTTATCCCTGTTCCCATTCACAAATCCCTCATTTTACGTGCCTAATGTTGGCGAACACGGATTGTTGATTTTATATTTTTATTTATGTGTATATATATATATATATATGTATTTAATTCCCTCTCATAGCAAAGACGTTATCATTCTTGACAGCTGCTACTCCTGTAGGCAGCTACTACCCCACCCCTTGTTTCTTTGAAAGCAGCTTTGCTGACAACTGGTGTTTAATCCCTCGGAAATAGAATTTTAATTATGTGGATAATCTATTTACAGTCGGTTTTTGGGGGGCTTTGGACAAGTTCCAGCTAATTTCCATAAGGCAGTGGGTTCAGGTTTGCTAAAAATGAGACACATGAATCACGGAGGGAGGGGAGGGGGACTCAACATTGGATTTAAAACACTGGACAACCCTATAGAAGATGCATTAATATGATAATGTGATCATTTAGAAACTGCATTAATATGATAATCTGATAAACATCATAGATAACATCTAAATACCTAGTTGGACTGTTGAATGACTTTCTCTTAAATATTGTTTTCCGAGCTGAGATAGTGGGTCAAATTACATAATGTTCTCTTTCAGAGGGCATTACAGGATTGATTGGTTAGTATTGAGGTTGCAACTAAAGATGATTATTATTATTATTATTATTATCGAATAATCTAAGTCTCTAAGTGTTTTCTCAATTAATTGATTTGGTTTATAAAATGTCAGATTGAAAAATATTCCCAAAGCCCAAGTTTATGATTCTGTATTTTTGTCCAGTCATCAGTTCAAAACCCAAATAAATTGCAGTTACTGTCATAAATGATAAAGACAGAAAATGTTCCGAATTACTTGAGCAATTAATTGTTTATCAAAAGTCTGGTAATTTGATCCACTAATTGATTAATTGCCTAATTGTTGCGGCTCTAGTTGGCTTTAACTGTCATCTTGTGGCTCTTGTGTTCCTGTTTCTGTCAGTATCAGCAAACCTTTCCAAGGTTTGAAAACAACAACTATTAGTTTATTTTTAATATCCTGTAAATCACAAAGAAAAGGCTGTCTGTCTGTAAATGAACTACAAATTACAGGCTGTCAATAATAAAAGTCCTACGCATTTGTAGAGTTAGTAATCAGCTTAGAGCCTCAGAAATGAAACAGCCCTCGCGTCCTCCATCCCCACCTTTTGCTTATAGAATAAGTCATATCGCTCGTAGCCTGGAGCCCTGGCAGCCAGAGCCACCAGTTACAGATGGACAGAAAACGGAAGTGGGTTTTATCAGCCGAGTGCCACAATCCCCCCCCCTCCTCCTCCTCTTCCTCTCGCCTTTCCTCTGTGTGTTTGTCACTGAGGAAGAGGGGAAGATGAGATGGGACAGCTAGACACAGGCTCAGACTTTGCAAAGTGAGAGAGAGAGGTCAGCAGGAGATGTGGGGAAAAGATAACGGAGAATATCTGATGGAGGCGTTCGGAAGCACTGAAATGGGGACAACACTTGATAGTTATGTGACTGCATTTGTCTTTTTCTTCAAATCTCTCTCAACCCGGCTAAACATAGATGATCTGTGTGTTATACATCTATAGTGGACTGCACTGTTTTATGCTATCATCCAGCATATAGCAGGATAAGACATTGACGGCTAATGGGCACATTTCCTCTTGTTTTGATCTTGAGGAACCATCGTTGCCCCCCCTCGCATCTCCTCCCCAGGGCAAACTATAATTTTCCCATTCTACTGAAACATTGGCTCGAGCTCTTTCACTCTCTGCAGCACAGTGGCAACTGTTACCGTCTGTTGTGACTCAGTGAGGTTTGTCATGGCCAAATGTGCTTATGTGCCCGACCAGAAAATGTACAGCTTGTGTACTCGGCTTCAGATGGAGGATTATAAACGCTGATTAGACAGTAAACGTGAGAAAAGTGTGAGAAACTCTTTGTGCAGTTGGAATCTGTGTGAAATCATACAGTTATTTTTAGCACGAAAACAATGGCCTAAAATGCAAGCTGTGCTTAAAAACTGTAACACTTTGAAACATAACATATATAACTTGAAGGTCCAGGGTGTAGAATTTGGTGGCATCTAGAGGTGAAGTTGCAAATTTCAACCAACTCCGAACTGCAACCATTTCGTCAAACTAAAATATGGGTCATACGGTACTTCCTGACCTCGCGCCTTTTTCCTCTATATTTTGCCAAACCTCATTAGCGGCGGCTACTAGTCTTTAGTGTCCAGAAGAAAATAGAGAAGGACTGCGAGGACAGATTTATTAGCTTTCACCTCCAACGCTGCTGGCTCATAGGTATGCTTGATCTGCAGAGAGAAAATTAACATTTTAAGGCTCAAACATGTTTTGTGGTTGGCCAGAAATGCCGACCAATGGTGTAGTAGTCATTGACATAGTTGGTGGTGTGTGACTCCTCCCGACTCATACACCAAAGTTAGATACAGGGTGTGATTACCGGGGTGCAGAGTGGGAATGAAAGAGGCAACATTCGCCTTATTACAAGTCAGTGTAGCATCAAAATGATTTGGAAGCTGTTTTGGGGTGGAACAGCTACACAATGTTGCTTTAACTTCCTCTGAAGTTGATATGAGGCTTCAGTAGTAGTAGTTCAGCAGTAAACATAAAGTACAGCTGAGGCTGATGGAAATGTCATTAGTTTTGCAGGTATTTGGTAAAATTTGGATTTTTGGCTTGATGTTAGCACGAGATGAAAAAGTCAGGGTATCACCAAAGTGACCAGAGTGCGATTTATTCTGAGGGGAACATGAATGTCTGTACCAAAGTGGTTAGCTTTGGCTGAACTTCAGAACCTTTTTTTTGACGGGAACTAACCCTCCATCACTTACTTTGGAATTGTGTTGAGCACAAATGACACATAATGGAAATACTGGCTGTGTCAAGCCCGATGTGATGCACGTTCAGGTTGTTAGGACTTGCCTGCTTTATTAACTTGCATTCCTTTCAGGCATCTGAGCTCTCTTTACTTTTACTTCTCCTTCTTTCCCTACAGTATTTCCCTCTCACACCCAGTATTGGGTTCATGCATAGAGAATGTTTTATGGGTTTAGTAAGACTCAGTCGACACTGAGACTGTTGGAAAAAACAACAACACAGCTTTGTGATAAATGCACTGTGGAAATTGAAGTGCTCTTGAACTCCAGCGTGGTTCTGAGGTAAATACCACTCAGAGAACAGCCTTTGAACGAAGCCTCTATTTGCCATGATTCATATCTAATCCTTAAAATCTCCTTTCCTACAACACAACCAGGCACACCTTTATTCACACAGTCAGCATGTCTGTGTGCATTTATTGTCACTGACATTATTAAACCGTGTTACATAAGTTTATTTTTTTACAACACATTTCAAACAGGAACTTCAGCACATACTGCTTTTAAATGAAGAGAAGATACGAAAAGTGATCAATATTTAGAGGTTTTTTTGATGGGATTTTTGATTTGTGTCCCGGGAAAACGTGAAAAATAGAGCGTCTTTGTTACTCCATTACCCCCCCCACCCCATCTCCCTCCTTGCTTCCTTCCTCCCATCCCGCCCTCCCACTGCTCAGGTGCCTGTTCTCGTTGCAGTCGCTGGCAGTTGTAGCAGTCTGGTGCAATCTGGTTCTCCCACATTCCTCTGTGCTCCTGTTGAATGGAAAAGCTCACAAGGGACTGAAATCTCTCCTCATCTCCCATTCCTCATAACTTTTCCATCTTTTGTACTTCTCCTCTCCCTACTTTCTTTTAGTATAATATCTTATTTTCTGCTTGTTGGTACTTCAATCTGTCCAGTAAACTCAAGTCTCCTTCATTCACTAATGTCGGCTGTCTCTATTTTATATCAGTGTTTGAGTTAGTCACATGTTAGCTCTTACTATTATTATTATTAGTGCACTCTGACACCATATTAGGAAAAGGTGTGAGGATCAGCTAAAGTGCTAGCTCGGTTGTTTACATATGCAGGCTCTGAGGCTTTCAAGGGAACTCTGGTGTTTGCAGCATCCTGGAGAGAATCAGGGGAAAGTGACTCTCGTAGGACTTGGTCTCTGCCGTCACTGTAGTGAGATACGGTTGCAGTGCTGGTCAATGATCATTTAACTTGACTTTCCTTCAACCAGGAGATGAAGGTTGAAGTATTCTGTTCTGCCAGGTACTTGCCCTGATTATTTGTCCATGAGGAATATGTTAGCTGTGTCCAGAAATCCCTATGCTATATACTAATTAGATGAAAGTTTTAAGACATGTATATTGAGCATATTGTTAGTTCAGGCAGGACACAAAGCCAAACTTTGCTCACAATCGCATCTACATCAGCTGATAGCAGCTGATACGAGGCGCTGTATTTAAGCGGTTTTAACCTGCCTAACCTTGCTGCCTCCTCTGCAAGCTGCTCCTCTTCTCTATACTCTAAAGTATCGATCCAAGAAGGACACATTTTCTAGACATACACTTTATTCTGTACACCGGTACAGTCTAATGCAATCCAGTGCAGCTGTTCTGCCCTTTTAAGTCTTTTGACCTATCGCATCGACACTAGTATAACAGTTAAGGAAGTATTCTTTACAATGCACAATATGATTTTATCATGATTTTGTTTAACAGAAAAAGAGTAGACAAAAATCTTTTCTTTATCAAATTTTAGAATAATCTCTTTCTGAGGTAGGGTATAAACTGTGCAAAATAATACATATTTCCTCTTCTTCGTAAAAGTGAAACTGAAGTCCAGCGCCTTGATACCACGATTCCTTTTCATCTCACCAGTTTGAATCTTGACATATTTGTATCTCAATTTAACTTGCGATACATCTCTATACTCCCAATCTCAGTATTTTTACTCCTCTGTAAATCATCACATCATTAGATATAGTGACACATCTGTGAGTAGATACACTTCACTCACAGCACTGAACTGTCAGTTTGCTGACAAACCTGCAACCTGAGCTTGAGAAACCCTTCTGAAGGGCCTCATCAGTGGTCCGTGAATGTCAAGCTGAGGTAACTTCAGTGAGAAATCCGCTTTAAGTATATTGTAGGGCCTGTGTAGAACAGGAGACTGGGAAGTTGCAATTTGGGCTTCCATCCCAATATACACAAAGCCAATTTTTAAGCAGCATCGACTCTTTCAAGACGATTGTTTCACAGTAGTTTTTGGGTGGAGTCAAGCATCTTAAGCTTGTTTGTATGTATTGACTACGTGGACTGCTAAATATATCTGCGTAAGTGCCTCAATTATCACTTAATATCTGATCAACTGTGGGTCCTGTCTGCTCATCCTGCTTATGTTTGAGTGTTTTCTGATCCTCAGGGAGCTGGGAGATGTTGAAGTCCATTATGATATCCAGACTAGCCGTCCATATCGAGCAGCTTACTCTTCACACAATTTCCACAGACCTGTCCACATTTGCTTTAGGCCTATGGGCCTATCTCTGTATGACTCAGTGTTGCACCATGGGATACGTTAACCCCCCAGTGTGCCAGATTACATCCTGGCAAGTGTTGAATCAAAGCTTGCATGACTGTACGTGTGTGCTTGAAATTGTTCACGTTCACACAGTTTACACTCCCACACATCTCCACAGTGGGATCCTTCCACATCTTTGAGAATTCCCATACCTGTGTAATTATGTTATGCTCGCACATTACACTTAAAACACCCACTAAGCCTCAGCTGTCCATGCAGTATACAACAACCACCTACGTGTTCTTTTTACAGCCACTGTCAGTTCCTTCCTCCTTGTCTGTTAATAACCCTCCCCGTCCTGTCTATCAGACTCACACAAGTGTCCTGGAAACACATGCATGTGTTGGAAAGAAAAAAAAAAAAGGATGTAAGACACAACTGTGGTTGGGTGTTAGTGTGCTATAGAGCCTTGTTTCCCAGAGAACCAGGAACAGCTGCTCATGCACATACACACACACACACACACACACACACCTACACACATGCCACATACACTCTGTCTGGAACCGAGAGTGCCTCTATTCACAAAGGAACAAGGCTGTTTCATGTGTGTGTGACTGTCTCTGTTTCATCTGGCCTGAAATAGCCGGTCTCGCAGTGAGTCACTCAGCAATGACTCGAGGGGTGGATTGGACTTGGTGTGTGAACACGGCACTCCAACTTTCTGTGGGTGCACTTGACTGTCTGAGCATGTTTGTCTTTGTCTGCGTTTATGATGACAGTGCGATGTGGTTGCATTTATCAGGCCATAATAGATGTATTGGGCATCAGGATGGAAAGGAGAAGCGACAGTCCTAATTAGCTGTCGGGAGGTGAAACTGTTTCTGTCCTTGCCATCTCACCAGTATTAAAACTCAGTTTCATTAGAGCCCGCTGCCCCTTTGTTTGAAGCTTTGTTTTCCCTGTAGATGCTTATTGATTCAGAACAGATTGAATCAACAGATAGGAATGACCTTGGATTTATGTGTTTCAAAGTGTCCTGTTCTCTAGAGTATTTGCATGCTTAACTGTTCTAACCAAACTTGGAACAGCACCAAGGATACTCTAGTCTACTCTGAACCGTAACAGTTCCTGAATGAACATCTTTCACCTTCTGTCAGGATGCATTAAAACAGCAATTACATAGAATTCTTACTTATTTTGAGCCCGGTCACACGGACATTATTCAATAATTGAGTATGTAAATGAACAATGTCTTATAAATAATCAAAAAACAAATCACAATTTCAACAAAATGGCATTGAGAGATTTTTTTTCTGTGCTTTGACATCATATTTCCTCATGGAGCAGGTTGTGTGTGGGTCAGGCTTGATTTGAAATACTAACATTACTTTAATAGTGTTCTGACATCCACATGCCCTCATCTAAGCCAAAGATGCTGCTGCCAGGATCATAAAGGAACAAATGAGTTTCATATGATGGCAGAGTTTAGCTGAAAATCTTCCAGACCAGCAGTCCACAGCCTAAAGACATTTCATTTGCGTTGAAATAAAATGAATTATTGATTGTTCAATCAATTAATTATTAAAATAGTTGTTGTAATGGGTGTTATTTCTCTGTCGACTGAAGACTCATTTCAGTCTTACTTGGCATATAACAGGAAAACATGACAACCCAGAAAGTGTTGCATCCTTACTCATCATTGGCTCTCTTCCCAGGTCTGCACATGGGGGCGGGCAAGAGCAAGCCCAAGGAGCCGGGCCAGCGCTCCATGAGCCTGGACGGCACCATCGGCACAGGCTCAGACAGCGGGCACTTCCACCACCTGGGCCCCGCCCAGCAGACCCAGACCCCCAACAGGAGCCCTGCCGTCGGGACAGGCAGGCGGGGGCATCAAGGGCAGCATCAGCACGCCCCGACAAACACTCCTGAACTGGCTCTCTTTGGAGGGGTGGACCACACAGGCACCATCACTTCACCTCAGAGAGGACCTCTGTCAGGTACGCAACACTTTGTGACATTTGTGTGGAAATATTGCAGAATATTAATGATTACAGGGAAGGTTCAGTTAAATAACAAATGTAACTAAATAAGATTTTATTCTTGCCAAGCTAAGCTACGCTCACCTAATGATCTCCCGACTCCAGCGTCATGTTGAACGGACAGATAATGAGAATTAAATCATTCTCCTGGTCTAACTCGTGACAAGAAAGCAAATAAATGTTTTTTTTCCCACAATATCAAACTGTTGCTTTAAATGTGAGTGAAATAGTAGAGCCAAAGTGATCTTCAGTGCTCAATGACTGGAGAATCCACAAAAGTGTTGCTTATTTTTAGTATGAATGAAGTTGTGAAACCTCAACAGAACTGGGATTTAATAAGATGTGATGATCTCTGACTCAGCCCACAGACTTGCTTTTAGTTTTTAGTTTCGAGGTCACAAAAGTCCTGAGAAAAAAAAATCTAAAACCTGTTTCACATTGAGTCATAGTTATTAGTTAAAATATTTCTTTCTACAGAAAACTGTTGCCTCCACCGTCAGCTACCAAACAGACCTAAAACCTTCTCTTTGACTTTGAAGCTTGTCGTGTGTCACACTGTCCAGATTTTGCTTGACATTAAGCTGTAATGTGTCTAGACCGACCAGATGGTTAGGTTAATGTGGCTCCATCCGGAAAGCGGAGGGCTGCTGCTGGTGTATCAGGGACGGCTCTGCTGGCCGCCTCCTCCTATGCGTCTAATGAGCCAATCAGTGATTGGCTGCAGAGTTCCCTGGGTTAGTTCCCTGGGTTAGATCTCAGGTCCAATAAAAGGAAGGGGTAGAAAGCTACACAGCCATACAGTCATACTGATGTCTTCGTCCTTCACAGGTGATAGGTCAACAGCAGTCTGAAAGGCGATATTTCTCATCAGGCTTTGGTAAATTGTTTCATACAGAGATGGAGCAGAAGAAAATTAACTAAAGATTTATAGCTTTACAGTGGATAGAGCGAATTATCATCAAAGGCTAGACCTGTATTATTGAAGATGGATTATGGTAGTGAATGTGAATAGGGCGTAGGGGGAAGTACCATTGTCTTTAATTACATTGTTCCCTAAGTGTGTGTGTGTGTGTGTGTGTGTGTGTGTGTGTGTGTGTGTGTGTGTGTGTGTGTGTGTGTGTGTGTGTGTGTGTGTTGTTTCTTGCAGGAGGTGTCACTACATTTGTGGCACTGTATGACTATGAGTCACGGACAGCGTCTGATTTGACCTTTAGGAAAGGCGACAGGCTGCAGATTGTCAACAACACGTAAGAATCAACAGTCATCTCTCTCTCTCTCTCTCTCTCTCTCTCTGTCTCTCTCTCTCTGATGCCACAACTTCACAAAAAATCTAAACGAACAGATTTGTGAGCATGAGTATGTGAATGAACACAGTCAGAGCTGGTAACTGTGGAGCAATCCACACAGCAGAGTCTGATCCTCTCCATCTGTTGACTAAAACGGAGCAGACCTGCACTTTACTGATGCATTCTGGTCCTCTTGGGCAACTGTCATCATCATCTTTAAGACACGTTAAACACAGTCTGTCATGGCAAGATCTGCCCTCACATTCCTGTTAACATGTAAAAGAAAATGTGTTTTCCTGTTGGACGTCAGCACATGCTGAAGAGTCCGTCTGTGTTGTGGTGTGATTTTTAGATGGAAGTGAAAAATGATGTATCTTTTAAAAGCTGATGTTTCTAAGTAAAAGCATCTGGAGCATAATTCCCCAGCAGGTGTTTGAAATCAGAACAATGGCTTTGTTTTTTATCTTTTTTCCTATGAGCTTTTTCCATAACTTCCTGCCATACGTCTGGTCTGCTATTCGGTTAGTCTGGTGCTACATAGTAGGGCTGATAAATCTAAATAATTCATACTTATTTACACAAAGACAAACAGTATTCAGTGATTTTATAAACATTTTTATTCAAATACTGAATTAAAAGTAGTGCAGTTGTGTATATGTAAGACCACAAATCCCACATGATATGGAGAGCTGATCATTTATATTTAATCCTCTATTGTAGAGTGATTGAGAACTATTACAAACTGCACTGAAAAGTTTAACTTTAAACTTTGACAACTCTGCAGGCTTGTACCAACCCTACTGTGTAGTCCCACAGCATATTCGGCTCCTCTGCTATCTGTCTGTGCTGTGCTGCTTGCCTCACTGTGTCTCCTCGCTGTGTTTTGATGTGTCTGCTGTGTCTGTTATCTCTCCCTCTCTCCCTTTCTTTCTCATGCTTCATGGTTTCTCCTAGGAAAAAGTACAGCTTCAGGTCAGTAATACTTAATGCAATAAAAAATCTCTCGCAACCTTTTGTTCACAGTCCCTTCGCTGCTGCTCGGATTTGTCTGATTAGTGTAACTGCAAATTAATTAGTAAATATTAGAGATACAGAATGATTTGGTGCTCTAACTTGCTTGGTAGGGAACATCTTGTACGTTTCTGGATATAGAGCAACAGTTGAAGGTCTAAATGTAACCTGAGGGACTACAAGTGGAACAAAAGGTTGTCTGTTTCTGTCTATTTCCTCTTTTTGTATCTTATATCTTTCTCTGCATGTACGTGTGGGATGTGAGACCTGGAGTTTTAAAACCTCAATCTTTAGGTTTCCTCTTTGCTTTGTGAAGAATATTATGGGTGGTCAGTCAAACAATATGGATGTTTCAACTTTCACCACAAGTAAACTTACTAAGAAGACACAATCTGAAGCATCCTGTGGTGCAGATATTGTAATATTTAACAAGTCTGGTAATGTTCTTTATTTTTGTAATTGGCAACAAATCCCTATTCTGTGTAGCCAACGCTTGATATATCTCATTCCTCTGTGCCATAGACAGATTGTGGTCCAACAGCTATTTAAACACACACACATGAGCTACGCTGTTACACTGGTTGATATGTTCCTTCATTATGGGCACAGTAGTTTAGTAAATCACATACACCGTCCTTGGGTCATAAATACACACAGCTGAAAATAGTCTCCAACTAATGCATAATCTACTCTGCTCCCAGCTGTATTAGGAAATAATTTAGCCTTGTTAAAACAAATAAAACTATATATTTGAAGATTAACGTCTTCAGAAGGAACCAGTGGGGCTTTAGGCTGGGTACAGGAGTTTCATTGTTGGATTCGGTCTTTACATGTCATTTGTTGACATAAGAAAAATATAGACTAACGCCATTATTATTCTTTGAGTGTTCTTCCTCCATCAGATATAATGTCTCTTAATTGGGAGTAAATTAAAAGATCATTAAACCAAGAAAGGTTTTGTTTGCTTAAGTCAGCTTTCTGTTTATGGTTGTCTCTCTCTCTCTGTCTCTCTCTCTCTCTGTCACTCTCTCTGTCTCTCTCTGTCACAGAGAAGGGGACTGGTGGCTCGCTCGCTCCCTGACGACAGGAGAGAGTGGTTATATCCCCAGCAACTATGTTGCTCCGTCCGACTCCATCCAAGCAGAAGAGTACATTATCCTCTCCTTGTTTCACTCTTACAGTTTATTTTGCAGTTTGTATTTTTCTTACAAAGGTTTAGGGCTTCAAAGGCTGAATGTAGCTTTATTCTCTCTGCTATATCTACTTCTACTAGAGGATGTTAAGAGTATAAGAGACAATGTTTCCTGATATACCATCCACTGCAGTCTTTCATATTTCCAGTCAAAAAGCGTTTCTGCCTGCCTGCTCCAGACGCTCAGTAGTAGCTGCTTTCTGATCTCATTCTCTGTGGCCCACTTTGTCAGGTGGTATTTTGGGAAGATCACTCGGCGTGACTCAGAGAGGCTCCTTTTGAACTTACAGAACAGACGAGGAACCTTCTTGGTGAGGGAGAGTGAGACCACTAAAGGTGAGAAACCAGACATCTGCATCACTCTAGAGGCTATAGTCATTATCAAGATGTTCCAATTAGCTCTTCTTCATTTCTGTTTATAATGACGTATTAAATCTGGGTCTCCAAAGCCATTTTGAGAAGTATTTAATGTACAAAATACATTATATTACCCATATTCCCTGGAATAAGACCGGTGGCCTGCATGTACAGCTGGTGCAAGTACTCGACAAATTTTGTCTTGATTGATTTATTAATCAGCAGGAATTTAGTTTAAATCCCAAAATGGTACAAAATTATCAAATGTAAACATTTGCTTTTTTATCTTGTTTTTTTGCCTTTTATATTAGTTTGACTGTTAGACAGAGAAAACAAGCAGTTTGAATATGTCATGTGAGCTTTAGGAACATTTAGGCATTTTCACTATTTTATTACATTTTATACAGATCAACAGATGATTAATCAATAATGAAAATAATTATTAGTTACATCCCTACATGCACAAATGACTTATATCTTTAAGATAAAGGCAGTTGCTTCAAACACAGCTATGAAATGGTGTATTTTGAGATAAGTGCTCATAATATATATATATATATATATATATTATATATATATATATATATATATATATAAATGACAAGAAGCTGAGAATCGCAGCATTACATCGAAATGTTTTTTTGGCCAGTTTGCAGACGCAGCCTTTGGGTTGTGTTTCCTGGCAGTGCACAATGGTGTGAGGAAATGCATGCCTTAACAGAGAAAATTCTCACTAAAAAACATGTTTCATAAAACTTTTTTATCTTGCACTCGCTAAGTATTTAAAGTGTGAAAAAATAAATGATTACACTTTGTCCCTGGAGTTTACTCTGCTCAGCAAGTGTGGTCTTACTTTGAAATAAGATCTTTAGGGACTCACTTTGAAAGAGTCAGAACCTCGTAATTAAGTCATTTGTTAACTTTCATACAGGCCTATGGCGCTGTATGTAGTTATCTGGGCTTGTGGCAAAGTTGTGCATCTTTTTCTGAAACTCTGCTGTCAGATGTAGTCCCTATGACGTAGGTGGGCGCTTCAGAGGGTTGTTTTGGTAGAAGTCGGGGGGAGAAACGGGAAAAAGAGCAGAGCAGAGTGGAGTGGTTGGAGCTTGTGAATGGATAGGGGTGAATCACTCTGCCAGAACTAGGTCAACCTAGGAGGGTGCTGGATTTCCCCCTGGCTATAAGTCTCTGTTCTCCCAACACACACACACACACACACACACACACACACACACACACACACACACACACACACACACACACACACACACACACACACACACACTCACACACAGAGAGGGGAGTAGAGGCATGAAGAGGGGGGAGAAACCTTAAAGGATACGACTTGTAGGAAAAGGGGATCTGGGAGAGTAGGAGGGGCTCTGGCAGGAGGTGTGTTGTCCTCTGGGTGCGTTCTGTATTAAATGTCAAATGTGGGATTCGTGGTCTGACACTGAGGAGCAGAGGCATGCTGTATAAAGTATAAATCTGATCATTTGTAAAGCGAAAGTCGTAACTCATTTCAAATCTTATGTTTTGGTACAGGTGCAGTAACTGTATCTGTAGTTTAGTACTGGTGGGTCTTTTTAGCATGGGAGTCAACATAAGTTAGTGGTTAAGCTGCTGGAATAATACTGTGATGCTCATGTACTTTGGGACAATAGACTGTGTGGATATAATCTTTGGGAAGTGCCTTTACTGCTCTAGATTCTTTCGAGGGAAGAAAAAAACATCAGTCAGAAAAACCCCAGATCAAAGAGGATTGATTTTTCATTTTCCTTTACTGTGGAACAACCTCTCCTGTGGAGCTTAGGTTTGCTAAGTCTGTTCAGCCTCCTGAATCACTTCTCAAAATGCATTTTCACAAGTTTGATTCCTGTCACTTGTCATTTGAGTGAGTTCTGATCTAATAATTTATTGTTTTAATTGTTTGTATTGTGATACAGTTTTCTTATGTGGCTGTACAAAATAAGTCAATTATCATTGTTTTACTCAGTAAGATCAAACTGTACTTAGTAGTGGACCATGGACATGGAAAGGCTTACTTGCATTTTCAGGGCCTTTCAAGGGGCCAACAGGGACTTGCCCAGCACAGCTGCTAGGAAACTCCACAGAGCAGCTGTCACACAGGCCCACATACGCCTGGTTTTATTGTTCTAACCTGTCTCTCTCTATCTGTTGTTTTGTCTTGTTCACAGGGGCATATTGCCTGTCAGTGCTGGATTATGATAACACCAAAGGCCTGAATGTTAAACATTACAAGATCAGGAAGCTGGATAGTGGAGGTTTCTATATCACCTCCCGCACCCAGTTCACCAGCCTACAGCAGCTAGTCTTCCACTACCGCAGTGAGTACTCCGACACATCGGCTCACCGGTGGTAAAGAAATGCCACTAACTGTACAAGTTTAAGCTTTCACAATACTGTTGCCCTTAATCTGCCCTTTCACCCTGGCTCATCCCTCTTTCAGAGCACTCTGATGGGCTGTGCCACGCTCTATCAGACGTGTGTCCTGTGGCCAAACCTCAGACCCAGGGACTGGCCAGGGACGCCTGGGAGATTCCCAGAGAGTCCCTCCGCCTCGACCTCAAACTGGGTCAGGGCTGCTTTGGAGAAGTCTGGATGGGTAAGAATGACACAGCACCCCTTTTTTATTGGAAGGGATTCAAAAAGCTAATTGATTTCTTCTTAAAAGAATAGTTTTACAATCTTTCTTTTTTACACTTTATTTAAGAAGTAAAAAAATCATGTTATTTTGCTGTCCTGACAGGTACATGGAACGGTACAACACGGGTAGCCATTAAAACCCTAAAGCCTGGCACCATGTCTCCAGAGGCCTTTCTTCAGGAAGCACAGGTCATGAAGAAGCTGAGGCACGAGAAGCTGGTCCAGCTGTATGCTGTTGTGTCTGAGGAACCTATCTACATTGTGACAGAATATATGAGCCAAGGTAATACAGGATACAGTGCTTGGGTGTCAAATGTCAGTACTTTTGTTGGTACTTAATCAAACTGTGAAATGCTTCCTCAGATTCATAATCTTACTTAAGAGAACGTATGGAAAGAAAAAAAAGATCGTTTTGGTACAGAAATCTGTGTATTGTATCAACACTAGTTTGGAAACATTTCTAATTATCCCCATAAATTACTGCTCATACATATATGATAGCTTGTGCTGTAAGGTTTAAACATATAACGGACAAATGGTCATTTATTTGGTAGTTATCTTTCATTTGATGAATGTAATTTCATTTAATCTTACACTCACAGGTAGCTTACTGGACTTCCTTAAAGGGGACGCAGGAAAGATGCTTCGTCTGCCTCAGCTAGTAGACATGGCCGCTCAGGTAAAATCACTTGTGGTTTAACTAAACACACTAAAAACTATACAATATTTGTATTTATTGTAATAAATCATCATCTCCTCCTCCAGATTGCGGCAGGCATGGCTTACGTGGAGAGGATGAACTACGTCCACCGAGACCTACGCGCTGCCAACATCCTGGTGGGAGACAGCCTGGTGTGTAAAGTGGCCGACTTTGGTCTGGCAAGACTCATTGAAGACAACGAGTACACTGCAAGACAGGGTAAGTCCACACTTCCTCTTTTCACAACAGTTTATCATTTTCATTTGTATTATGAAACCAAGATGAAAAGTGATAACTAAGGAGACATTTTTTATTCTACAACATGTTGCTTTTAAACTTTACTCACTCATAACTGTTTGGTTCCAAAGGAGCTAAGTTCCCAATCAAATGGACGGCACCAGAGGCTGCGCTGTACGGTCGTTTCACCATCAAGTCTGATGTTTGGTCTTTTGGTGTTCTGCTCACAGAGCTGGCAACTAAAGGCAGAGTCCCATATCCAGGTAAGGACTCCACTAACAACTCGTTAACAATTCCCCATTCAAACAATATTTCTTTAACAAAATGCACTTAAACAATAATCAGTGATAAGAGCTGATACAATGAGTCGATTAATTGATTAGTCATTGACAGAAAATAAATCTGCAACTAGTTTGATAGTCAAATAATTGTTGTTTTCAAGAAAAATGCAAAAAAATGTCTCAATCCAGCTTCTAAAATATGAGAATTTGGTGCTATTTGTTCTCTTATGTGACAGTAAATTTAATAACTTTGAGTTTTGGATTATTCCAAACCGGCTATTTTGGGGACATTGCCTTGTACTCTGGGATATTGTGATGTACATTCTTCACTACTTTCTGATATTTTATATCCAAAAACAAAACAAATCAGCAGAATAATCACTTTTGAAGATAATCGTTAGTTGCAGCCCTAAAAATGATATAATAATAGAATGGATTGTTTAATATTCAAGGAACATAAATGATAAACGTCATGATTTGCAGCAAAATTGTGTATATAATATGAATAATTCCATCCGTCATATTTACTGTATTATCGCTGAATCTAACTTCCTGTTTCTGTCGGCAGGTATGGTTAACCGCGAGGTGCTCGACCAGGTGGAGCGCGGCTACAGGATGCCCTGCCCAGCAGAGTGCCCCAGCTCCTTGCACGAGCTCATGCTCTCCTGCTGGAGAAAGGACCCAGAAGAAAGGCCTACGTTCGAGTACCTGCAGGGCTTCCTAGAGGACTACTTCACCTCCACAGAACCCCAGTATCAGCCTGGGGAGAACCTATAGAACCACAAACTGAACCGAACCTGGGGGGGGGGGGGGGAAGAACCTCAATACAGAACGATCTGCACTAACCGACCTCAGAGGAGCACCTGTGGGAGGATCTGAGCCTGTGAAACTCACCTGGGAGGAACTTGAGATTCTTCTGTGGAAGCAAAACCGAGACAGAAACCTGAAGAGGTCCCATCATGTGCCATAAAGAAACTGCTACAGAAGAACCTAGAGAACCTCCCTTCTGCAAGTACTCACTGTTTACCGAAGGTTTTCCTTCGGAAGTGAGGTTCAAGGCTGTGAAGGAGAACTCCTGCTGGACGGACTCTGGTTTGATCGAGGGACTACACTGGCGGGTAGATGTTTTTGAGAGGTGCGACTTACGTGGGAGGAAACCGAATCAGGATCTACAGACGGAGCGAGAGGGAAAAGAATAAACATCCTGTTGAAGAGAGAAAGTCGAGGGAGGATATTTCAGTCGGACATGAGCTGTTTTAGCGAAACCTCCCTCTTTCTATCTTCTATCGTGTCTCTTAACCCTCGTCTGGTACCTTCTCCGCCCACAGAAGAGCACTGCCACTGTGGCTCAGGTGCCAAAGGAAAGTCTGTCTCTCTCTTCACGTCCTTTATGTTCTTTATGCCTCTCTTCCTCTATTTCTGTCTGACTTTCAGTATCTCTCTCCAGTTTTCTCAAGTGCTGCTTCTTCAAAGTGTCTCCAAATAACTCAGCTCTGGAACTCTACTTTGCATCTTTTTATTTATGTTTACTTGGACAATATACGTCCTGTGGTTTAGGGTTTTGTTCGATGGCAGACAAAGGTTCCTGATATCAAGGTAATGCCAGAATAAACATACTCAACAGGCAGGTTCTGTAACACTGATAATTAGGTCAATTGAATAAAAATTCAAGGCCTTTCTCTCTTATTTAATCCTCCGTCTTTCTTTTCTACCACGCTGTACAGCTATTGCGGCCAGCTGGATCCAACCTGGATGATTAAAAAATGATTTTGATGCAGGTAGTGTTTGACTGCTTGTTGTTTTGATTTACCTTGATTTTAACTGGAAAGTTGCATTGAAACTAATCAGCACGGTTATAGTGGCACTAAAGAGCAGTTTTAGGAGTTATCAGCTCATTTCCTCAGAGGCGTAAGTGGGGTATCTTTCATGTATCTTTCATCAAACATTTATGGTGACCTACTAAGAGGCTGATATGGCTACCCAACCAATATTACTGTTTAATATCCAACTCGGCTCAAGATGTGAAAAACTCGGAGTGTAAAAGCCTTCCTCGTGTGCCAAACAAATCACATTTCTTTACTGCTGTCCATGTATATAATGTTTTTATTATCAAGGGGCTTACTTCGGGTTTTTAGTTCTTAAACTAGGCAATTTACAATAAAACTCTGCACCCTTTCCCCAGTAAACCTCATGTTAATGAGTAAACAGGACAGACGAACCTGTTTCTGTTTGCTGAAGGATTGAAAAGGTTTTGCAGTCACTTCACAGCTGTTGTGTCCATAAAAATATGCAACCAGGCGGCCCTAATGAAACTGTAAAACTTTGATCAGGTAACCCTAATAAAACTGTGTTTATGACTTACTATAAGAGGTGATTTTAAAACCAGTTAGCATGCTTTTGTGCCGTTCTTCTCTTGACCATTTGGCTGGGTTTGTATTTATGCTGTACTGTACATCCAACACGTGTATGTTTAGTTTACTCAAGGTTCAGGTGAGGTGATGGGATCACAAACAGACTTCTGAACATGTGCCATCAATTCTTTATTTTATTTTTTTAATATCTTATCCACTGCTGCCACTCCTCACTGTCATACTGTACATACTGTAGCTCTTTAGAGTTGGTTTTTTGTATCATGTAAGCCACTTTCAAATGGTTGGGTATTTATGTTGGGTGTCACACATTTCACAGTGGTTTAGTTTATGACGTAGTCGATGCAGCAACAGTAGATATAAAGTTATAGATTGTTGCCAACAAATGCTATAAAACCCAGTTATCACAATATGAGCCACGCAGCCATAAGAGAGATGGTCCACGCCCAGTAAACAGCATGAAGTTCTTATCCAGCGACGATGAATCCTGGTGGCTAATTTTAATCAATGTGGGTGATTCTAAAATCTCAATGAAGACAGAGTTTGGGTTGTGATATGAAATTAAAAATGAGGTCAAAGATGTAAATAGTATCTTAAACAAATGACTGTGACTATCATGTAATTTGTTTTTGTGTAGTTTTTCTTTAATTGCTCCTCCATGTTGAGGTTTTTACATTGATGCACGCCTGTTCCCAAAATGTTCTAATATTAAGATGCTACTGTAAATGGGGCTTAAGGGATGTTTTTTTTTTTTTTTTTTAAATATTGGACTTATTATAAAATCCTATCGGCAAAAGACAATTTAAAATTGGGCTTGATGTGTATATTTCCGAGAACATATTTATCAGTGCTTTCCTCTTTTAGATTGGGAAATACCCAAATCTGCCGCACTGAGCCGCCTGTAAGTCACTGCGACAATGTGGAAGTTAACGGGCTCATGACAAGTATGAGTAACACCAAGGTCTGATTGGATTTTCTGTGCCATATTAAAGAAGTGTCTCGCCCTTTTTTTTATGTTTTTTTTTTTTTTTTGGTTTTTATAAATCTATGCAGTTTCGGTCTGGCATTCCTGCAACTTCATGGCCATTTTGTTCTAAAGTCAATAACAATGATCATAAACAGAAGGTGTGAGCATTTTGTAAGGACTTCTTTCGTCTTTTTTTTTGTTTTTGTTTCCAATGTAACAGGATTGAAATGGGTATCGTGCCACTTTATGTTGATCTTTAAATGTGCAATAAATTATATTTCAAATGTGTTTTGATAAGAGTGCGTGCTGGTGTGTGTGCTGTCCTTTGACCTGGAAACCTCATGCTCCTCAAACATGATTCAGATACTTCTGAAAGTGTGATGAGCATGTTGCACCACAAACCTAAAGTTTAGAGAAGTGAGCATGTGATGTGAGGATCATCAGATCAGGTTGGCATTTAGAATAAAGAGAATTTCATGAAATGAAAGTATATCAAGAAAAATAAGAATTATGTGCTTGCTGTTGAAAGTTTATATTAAGTTAAATATTATATTCTCATATAAATATTCAGCCTGTCTTCATCTTAATAAAGGTTAGTGTACTGTGTAAACAACAGGGACAAATAACTCCAGGACTTAATCGTTAGATCCCAATCAACCACCACCACCACACACAAAGTAATAAATGACCTTGTAATCAATAAAACACTCAATAACAACACTCGTTAAAATGGCTATCTAATCAATGGATTGGATGCGACAGTCGACCCCTGCCTCACTCAGAGCAGCTGAAGTGTTTCCGTCCACATGAGGGCAGTATTTGTCAGGAGTATCAAGGACACTCAGTGGCCGAGGAGCCGCAGACCAGCAGCAGCAGATTGAAACCCACCTGCTGTGGTGGCCTCCAGTGAACAACATTAACCTTTGGTCGTCATTTACGGACGGCGTGATGGATGACGGCCAGCAGTGGTACATTTATCAGAAAATCTCATTTATGGCACCATACTGTAGTTTAAAATTCATTACATATGGGGAGAACTTATTGGCAGAGTGTTCACTTTTTTCTCTCTCTCGTTTGCTTTATGTCAAAATCCCCTGAAACTAGCTGCAGCTGTTAATTGATTACAGATGAGTTCTTCCTCTATTGGCTTAAGCTACATTGAACCAATCGGCAGCTGACGTTTCCACCATTAATGAGTAGCTGCTCTTTCCTGCATTTTATCTTTTTTTGCTCTGCTGTGATTAGGAGCAAAAATATATCAGTTGATAAAGTGCTTCATTTCTAATAAACAGTATATCTGTGTGTGTGTGTGTGTGTGTGTGTGTGTGTGTGTGTGTGTGTGTGTGTGTGACTGGCTGTTGTTTTTCCCATCTGCTGAGCCGGAGTGCGAGTCATTTATCTCAGTTATCCAGACAGTGTCAGAGCTCCATCTGTGAAAACAGTAAACACACTGACTCACACTCTCTAAGTGACTGCCATTGATACGAGACAAGAGAGCACTGCGGATATACACAAGGATATAGCATGTCTGCACACACACACGCACACACACACACACACACACACACACACACACACACACACACAAACACACACACAGGACTACAGTTACTGTTTGTTTTCATCTCATTACAGTGACAGGAGCATGGCAACCCCCGGAGAGAAGCTGGATAATAGTGGTGTTTTGTTGTTCTTTTTTTTTCCTCCACTAATGGTCCAGGTTGCCCCTCTCCTTCATATGATCCCTGCAGTTTGTCTGCATACAGTTAGCCTCCAGGAAGATATCAGAGTCCTTTGTTGCTGCTGTAGATGATCCAATACAATGAAATCACGTCGCAGTTGGTTTTTGTCAAAGTTTCTGTTTTGAAATCAATATTGAAAAAAAAGATAAATAAATGCAACATCCACAGCAAAATAATTGGGACCAAACAGACTGTAGGAGTCAGACAACACATCCACACACTGTACAGAAAGCTGTGTACGTTTGTCTGACATTTTGTTCTTCAGAAATATCTAGAAGAGCATATTAGCCAGTGGCTTCAATAATACCAGTATTCACTTTTAAAAACTCTTGCAGCACTAAAGTGATGCTGGTATGTACGCAGCACGAGGGCAGCTTCCAAAAACAAGATGAGTTAATAAAGACGAGAGGCTCAGGAGGCTACACTGGTTGGATCAGGGGATACAACTTCATAACTCTGCCACAATATTAACAGTGGTGGAAAGTAAGTAAATGTACTTAAGTTCTGTACTTACTAGGATTTACATGTATTCTGCATTTCCTTCTTCATAAATCTTCTGCTCCAGTTCATTTCAGAGGGAAACTTTGTTCCCTTTTACAGCTATAGTTACTTTTATCCAACTATCCAACAGTATAGCTGTTAAAAAAAGCTCCACCTCAACCAACAAAAATATTAAAGTACTGCTTAAACCAATAATATAAAAATATATTCTATACATTCTGATATCTTTATGTACTTTTGGTTGTTAATACTTCCTTCTTCTTGTACTTTTACTTAACGTAACGGTATGTCTCATTTCCACTTTTACTTAAAGGACCAGTGTGTAGGATTTAGTGGCATCTAGCAGTAAGGTTTCAGATTCCAACTAACACCGCTCACGTCGGTATTTGGGAATGAGAACAGGCTGTGAAGTGTGTAGTGTGTAGTGGCCGACCCTATCTATAGTCAGTGTTTGGTTTGTCTATTCTGGGCCACTGTAGAAACATGGCAGTTCAACATGGCGAACTCCACGGAAGGAGGTACAGTAACAAAAATGCAATGACTGTTATTTTCAGGTGATTATACACTAATAAAAACATACCTATGAATAAATGTTACACACTAAATAATCTAAACACTTCTTTGACCACTGAATGTAAAGAAATCTATCTCTTTAACTCAAACCCTGCTGCTGTTACAACCCAGGTAAAAGATACCACTCAGTCCTGGTGATTTGTCGGTGGCGGTGCGGATGTAGTTGAATAAGCTGGGCGAACGGATATGAACAAGAGTTAACTACCATTATCTATTTGTGATGAATTTTTCACTCCAATTTCTCATCTTTGCCTTTGCCTCCTTCTTGTTCTGCTTGTTCCCTCTGCTCCGTCTTCTCTTTGCACGCTCAGATATTCTGTTTGAAGGTAAGATTTACTCCAGGAGGTGGAAACTGACCCACATGTTCTCCATCAACTTAACTTCAAACGCCGGGGAAGATCACTCAGCGACGTGTACGTACAATCCATTCAGTTTTTCTCTGTGCTCGACTGCTCCTAATGACTCCCGCAGACTCTGAAGCATGTACAGTGTACAGCTCGTGAATAGAAACAAGAGATTCTTTTTGATATCAGAGGATGAACAGGTGTGCAGACATCCCCCAAACTTTAATCAGTCTTCCTTTGTTGTGAAGTGCCGTACGGTGTTGACAGAGCTGTTTGGAGCTCAACCTGCATGACTGCCTTACAAGTTGCCTGCCAAGTTGCCACGGGTTATGGAGCTCTCTGTATCATGAAGTTGCACCCTGTAGCTATTACTGATATCAGCCACCTTGGCAGGAGAAATTACGCCTGCAGTTCAGTTCTGACTTGCCAGCGAGGAAACTGCGATGAGAGACTGGGAGTTTTGATACGCATGAAAACCTGTGCACACATCTTCAAGAGACCTGAAAATATGTGTTTTAATGCCGGAAAGAGCGGAGGATTTAATCTCTCGTCAATGTGGATTCAAAGGATTTTTTTTTTTTTTGTTATCTCACACTTCATTCATACACGCCTACCATTTGTTTGTTTTTAGAGGTTTTGGGTCCTGGATGTCTTTTTGTTTGTGATCTGTTTCCAGGGTTGCCAAGCAAAGTTGTCTGCTTCAATGTTACGCTATTGTTTGACACATGTTTGTGGTATTATAGTACATAGTAGGTGGATTTATATACACAAAGACTTCCTGAATAACACAAGTAATGTGCTCAATGCTTCATCCCATCACCACTCCCTCCTTTCTTCTTCCTTTTTTCCTTTATATTTGCCATGCTAGCTGCATATCGAGGGATGGCAATGTTGGTCTGTCAGTCCATCACCTGAGATATCTTAATAGCTACTGGATGTTTTACCATCATATACATTTTGTACCAACATAATCCCCAGAGGATGAATTCTACTGACTCCTGATTGCCTGACTATCTCATTAACGCCACCATGAGGTTGACATTTGTGGTTTTGACTGACATATCTCATCAATTACTGGATGGATTGCCATAAAATTTGGTACAGATTTCCACGTCTCTTCTAGGATATATTGTAGCCTAATAACCTTTGTGATCCCCTGAATTTTCATCTGCCACCATCATCATGTCAAAAGTTTGTCCAATACTTGGTTTATGACCAAATACCTGCAGAGATAATGTCTGTATTTTCTGCTAATTATCAAATGTTATCAACTTTCTGTCCACTCTTCTCATAAATATTCCCTCCCTTTGTCAGCTCTCCTCCCTTGCTAACACTTTGTCACATTGCTCTTCCCGACTCTCACTCCTTTTCCCCCTCACTTATCACTGCATACAAACTCTCCCTCTACCTGTCTCCTCTATCTTGCTTTATCACTTTCTCCCACTCCCTCCTTCCATTTTCCCTTGATTTTAACATCTAGCTGCTACATTCATGTTTCGGGCCTCTTTGAAACCATCCGCTCCTCGCAGGCTCCCTCCACTGTTATCCATCATCCTCTATTGGTCCATTCATCATGTAGCCTGGACGCTATTGGTTCATTCATCAACCAGCCAGCGGCCCCGCAGCTGCAGACAGCAACCAGCACACAGGCGCAGGAATGTACAGGCTCAGAGTTTGGGCCCTAATGTTGCACGGCACTTGAAGCTGTCCAGTAAGTATCCTGGGAAATTTTTCCTAGAGGCAACACTCCTTTGATGGAGTCTATTATAAAGTACTCAATATTTTAAAAAAAATAACAGTCTGATAAAGAAAACAACTATGGAACTCCAGTAGTTGCAGGAGCTGTTTTCACTGAGAGACATGTGGCTGATTAGTTTGTCAGATAGAAAGAACCTTCCATATACTTCCCTGAACGCAGCACGAATGTGAGTGTAACACTGGGTGGTGTGAATCTTTCTGTATTTATACCATGGCCACCAAAACTGCTCGTGATTGGCCGCCAGGCATCTGTTAAAATCATATTGGAGAACACCCCAACGTACACTGCCTTCAACTACGACTTGCGTACTAGCTGAATTTTTGCCATGCAGAATACACAATACGCCGAGCACTCTCGCTATGTATTACT